GATCAATGTATAGTCTTCTGACATATAAAAATCATATCCGAAATGAATAAAACAAAATCTAACCTGAACACACCAGAATTAATGCTTTCTAACTGAACCCAAATAATAAAGTACTAGAGGAAGCTTGGCACTTTTCTGTTCATACCAAATCTATACTTTCATAAGCACGCACGCATGCACACACACACACACACACACACACACACACAGGCGTAGCGACCCTTCCCGACGCCCGCGGACAATCTTTTGATTTGCACCCCCCCCCCCCCCATCGAACTTTTGATTTGCACCCCCCCCCCCTCAAACTTTCAATTTGTTTTTCCAACCCATTTTAGCGCCCCCCCCCCCCCCCCCAAGGTAGGCGCCCGGGGAAATATGTCCACCCCCGCCCCCCCTCGCTACGCCTCTGCACACACATGTATGCTGTAAAACGGAGAAACAACTCCTTTGAAGCATATGCTGGATCATGCATAATTTCTAGTCAGACAGCCAAAACGTGACAGACGACAATACGCTGACCGCCAACCTCTACCGTCCCTCACCGGCTTCTCGTCTGCTGTCCACGCGCCGGTAGGTTCTCATCACTATTTAAGTGTTTTATGACCCAGACGTGTGGAAATCAATGGGAATCCCCGAAATTCTCCCCGGCTTCCGGTTATCATTGTCCAAGGGGAGACCACTATCGTTTTCTTTTCGTTTAGTAGCTATAAAAAGACGGTCTCGGTCCCCGCGAGAATTTGTCGAGATTTGGAGTGATCGTAACGACATCTGCTCGGCACATTTACACGCGGTGAGTGTTCACACTGGGTGCCTTAGGGGATTCATGGCCTAATGATGTAAGCTAATAAAAAAACACAACCTTCTTTCCAAAGCAAACCACATAAAATACGGTAATCCATTTGTGTATTTATGATTATATATAAATATTTACACACACACACATATTATATATATATATATATATATATATATATATATATATATATATATATATATATATATATATATATATATATATATATATATATATATATATATATATATATATGAAGAGATTCACTTTTAATATAGCCCAACCGTGCTTGTCGTATGCTACCAATCCCCAATCTCATTACGTTTCAATCAACCTAAGCTTACGTACCTGTCTAAATAAAATGTCGACCTGATGTTACATTCTCCCCCACCTCCACCCCTACACCCCTCGCCTCGAGGTGCATGCACTCTCACCTCTCTTTCTCCCCACCCTTCACACCCCTCCCCCTCCGGCCATCTTAATTCGGACGCATACAAAACTTAACATAAAAAACCGCCATGTTATAATCCTTGTTAATCCCGCAGCTAAAATACAGCATTTGCTCTGTGTGTTGACAGATTAACATCTATACCGTGTCTCGTGTCTGTGTCAATGTCTATGTATCGTGTCTATGTCTAAATCTTCATCATCTTCAGTGACTAATCCAACATTTAAAAAATTTTAAAATATTCGAACAAAAAAAAATGCTGAAATTAATTTTTTTTAACCTTTTGGCTACTAGGGGTAAGTTAATTAGATTCATCTTTTAATCCCAGATATAATCAACACAGTGTCAAAGGTTTATGTTTTGAATAAGGCACCTTCAATAAAAAGTGTACTTTTCAACCAGTCAATGTTAACACACAAACACACACACACACACACACTATAATCTTTTCTCCTTTAAAAATTGTATGTGAATACATATAATAATATTGACAAATTTAAAAAAAAAATTAGCAGTAAAATAATTTAATAGTTGACCTAAATAAAATAAAAACGAATTCATAATACATTTGTGCATTATAGATTTCAATTTTAAAGTCATTCTGTTTTGCACGAGAAAGAGGGAGTCACGTTTTTTGCCTCTTCCATTCTTCCAATTTGTATTGTATAATTGGTCTACGAACTGTGTTAGTTCATTACATTGAAAAAAAAAATGTAAGACGCCAGATCTACTCAAGAATTACAAAGGTTCTCGCGAGGCCTGGGTAAATCTCGCGAGGGCTAGGTAAATCTCGCATGTACTAGGTAATCTAGCGAGAGCGAGGTAATCTCCGATGGAATGAGTTCCCTTTGTGGTTAGACGTACCGACGCGTGACTTGCTAATGGAATGTTGATTTGATATTATTTTATTTTTTCTCTACGTTTGAAATCGAATTGGGTTTATTTTTCAATCTTGCATTTGAATTGGCATAGTAATCACATATACTAAATATCCTTCTTAATGCAATTTCCTATATAGACAGTATTTTATACCTAATGTAACCTACAAATATGTAAATAGTCGGTTTATTTTCGATTATGCATTTGAATTGGCATACAAATCACACATACTGAATAACCTTCCAATTGCAATTTCTCCCAAGAACAATATTTTTGTTAGAATGTTTCATTAAATAAAGAAATTAATTATTTTAAAGTACCGTATTGTCCCTGAAACAGTTTTAAAATTAAAAAAAAATTATATTAAAACTTAGTAATTTTTATGCTGTCCCTACACCAAAGGTCTGAGGATCGAATCCTGGCCAGAACAAGATTTTATTAAGATGCTAGACCACACTGCTGTAGATCCAATGCGTTTATCCCACCGTCTATAGAACTGGGATGTAGATACAATCTTCTCTAAGCTACACCTTTCAACACCCGACCCCCCGGCCCTGACCCCCCCCCCTCGGGGGATAGAGACACAGGCGACATGTGACCACCACGGCGCTGATATCTTTATATCAATCACCCCAGAGGTGGGGGGTGTCTGGGGTGTGTGTGAGTGAGTGGGGCGGTGACAAGCACTTTAGAAATGCAGGACCCTATAATTAATAGATCTGCAAATGAGAGTGCAGGGAGTTGGGGGAGAGAAAAATTTCTAAACTCTAAAATGCGTTTTTTTCTTCTGAAAAATAAAAAAAAATTGTTTGTATTTCTTTTAAGCGTGGCTGAGCATGAACCGACCACGAACTGAGCCCCAAGTGCATGTTATTCCACCATTTTTTAAAAAATGCAAATCAATCTTCCTACCCTCGACTCCAAAGTTGACCATTAGGAAATTTTCCGGTAATTGGAAACTCCCGGATTTTTTTTTAGAATTGTCAGTTTATTTTGCAATTATTTAATGGCGCATTTCCGGTACTTCCGTGACCGGTTGTTGTTTTTTGTTTTCGTCAGTTGAAATAACCCAGAGTTCGGTTAAGTCCCGTCCCCCCTCCTCCTACCCCCACCCCCTCCGTTCGGTTACTCCCCATTCGCATTAATATTTGATTTCATCTCTTAAGCTGCCGTTCCCAATTACTGTCTTAAATTAAAATTGTTTTTTAAAAGTCTGCTTTGAGTTTGTCAATTCGCGAGAATTCGTTTGTGTAAAAAAAAAAAATGGAAATTGAACTATAACAAAACCTTTTGTCTCTGTAGTATTACTTTTAAAAAAAAAAACATCACATTCCTCGCACACAATGTTTTAGCTAATGCCTAAAATTGTTTGTTTTATTAAATTAGAATGGATATTTTTAATTTACTTTTGTTTTTCTTTATTAGAGATACCTCTTACTGTCATTACCTCAACACCACTCAACTCTTATCAACATTACCTACATCCCACTCTATTCGAATCAACATCATTCACCAACCTCCATTCAAACCATAGCCACCCACCCCTCACGCAAATCAACATTACCTACGTCCCTCCCCCAAGTCGCATCAACTTTACTTCTTACTCCCCTTCCCAAATCCCATGACCCCCCCCCCCCCTCCCCCCCCCCCCAACCCGTGTCACATGGCCAGGATAAATGTCCCGCTAATGCGCCCTGCAGAATTTTAAAAATCCACTTGCGTTTTAAAAATCACGGGCCTTCAATGGCCTCGAGGCTACAAGACGTCAATTTGTGAGGTGTCTGCCTCCGCATTCTGGTAATATCATTCCTAGGTTTCTGATTTCACGTCCTTAACTTAAACCTGCCCCCCCGTTCCCTTTCTCCCATCCCTCCCTCCCTTCCCCTGCCCCCTCTCGGCAAATGAACGAATGTCTTATTTATTAGGATTTTGGGAAATCTTGAAAAGAACTTTCAGAACCGGACCAAAACGCAGAAGAAGAAGAAGAAAAACAGCACCTCCAGGAATACACATAAATAAAAGAAATATGCTAATTTGTAAATGGGGCCCATTGACTCTTGAGGGTTTTTTTTGTGTGTGTCTGTAACTCATTGTAAAGATGTGAGAGTTTCAAGAGAAGGGAATGTTTTTTTTTTTATTTTCAGGGAGTAGTGGGATAGAAGGTCTCACTTGAGAAGAAGCACGAATCATATGACAATAAAATTGACTGGATTGTATTTGCAATTCAATGATATTCGGGTTTTTCCGCCATTGCTTCTAATAGTTTCATTTTTTTTTTTTTTGCTTTATTTCATTTTTTTAAGTCTTTAAACTCTAATATTTTAAATAGCTGTAAGTTGATTTTTATTCTTTAATGTTTTATTTTTAATTTTTTTTTTAAATTTCAGAATTCGTATTGAAAAGCAAGGTCCTTGATTTATAACACACTCTTAATTTCAAGCGCTTGATTACTGCTTCCATTTCTGGTAGTGTGAGCGGGTGGTGTTTTTTAATTTTTTTTATTTAAATCACGCAAATCTCCGCAAATCTCCGTAATGAAAACAGTGCCGGTGATTAACGTGTAGAAAATAGCTTTTGGAGTTTTTTGCATCGCTGATAGCCGAGCAGATCAGCGGATCAATGCGGACGTGCGAGAGAGCGTGATAGCCCGCCCCCCTGCTGGACTGATGCAACTAATGGTACAGGCCATTGAAAGATCATCTGATGACCTTGTGTAACGAAATCTCGACCCGGGTCGTGCTGTGGGACCTGGAGCGTTGTCTAAATTAAAACTCCCCCACCCCCTTCCTGTTTTTTTTTTCTCTTCTTCTACTGATGGGATCGGAGAAGATATCTGAAATGGCTTGGTTGGTTTTTTTGTTCCTTGTCGTTCCTGGAATGATGGTAACGGTTCTGGCGGCGGATATACATTATGCGATTCAGGAAGAGAGCCCGCCCGGGACGCTGATAGGGAACGTTCCAGAAGCGATGAATATCGCGAACCTCGTCTCCCAGGCCAACCTGCCTTACCTCAGATACAGCTTCCTCAGCGGCGACTCCTCTTTACAAAACTACTTCACCCTCGACGCCAAGACAGGGGATCTCAAATTATCCTCCACGGGGTTGTTGGACCGCGAGGTGTTATGCCAGTTCGACGCGACGTGTGTTATCGATCTCCAGGTAGCCGTTCAGTCTATTCAGAGCCAGTTTTTCCGGAAGCTTCTGGTCAGCGTTGACGTCATAGACATCAACGACAACGCCCCGCAGTTTAAGGAGAACTACACGACCTTGACCGTGTCCGAGTTGGTCCAGGTCCCCTCGTCGTTTCCGTTGCCTTCGGCGCTGGATAAAGACACAGGGGAGAATAACTCGCTTCAAAGTTATGAAATCGTCCCACAAGAAGGCCCGTTTGAGTTGTCCTATTCAAAATCAAACCCGAATCTCATGTTAAGAGTCATCAAAGAACTCGACCACGAAACTCAAGATAAATATTCGATAAAGATAATCGCCCGAGACGGGGGTGTCCCCCCTAGAGAGGGGATCTTGTACGCCGACATTTTTGTTGAAGACGTCAACGACAACGCCCCCGTCTTTACTTCCAGCTACGCCAAAGTCGTCGATGAAAAAGTTATCCCCGGGACGGTTCTACTGACCTTGACGGCGACGGATAGAGATTCCGGAAAAAATGGTCAGGTACGCTACAGCCTTAGCAGCCGACAACCGGAGTCCATCTTGTCCATGTTTAAAATCGATGAGCGAACCGGTGAGCTGAGAGTGATCGGGAATTTCCAAAAGGTAAACACAGAAGTGTATAAGATTGAAGTGGAAGCCAGCGATATGGGAGACCCGCCTTTCACCACCAAGACAACGGTGAACATCACAGTGGAGAACACCATCAACAACCCTCCCAAGATCGGCATCAGCTACTTCTCCAGTAATGATTACTCGTCTATTTCTGAATACGCAAACTTGGGCGTGGCCGTGGCGCTTATACAAGTCACCGATACGGACCGCGGCCCTAATGGGATCGTCCATTGTAATTTGACAAACCGAGGATATTTCGAGCTGCAGAGTTACGACGTGAAGGAGTACAAGGTCATCGTGGCTAAACCGTTGGACCGGGAAACCATCAGCGTGCATAACGTCACGGTGGAGTGCTACGATGCCGGAACGCCGGTTCTGAGTACGTCCCGGACGTTTCAGGTTCGCGTGACGGACGAGAACGATAACGCGCCGGTGTTTGTTGAAAAGTTAACCAACATCAGCGTGAAAGAAAACAACGAAATCGGCGCGCAGGTAGCGACGGTGCGAGCCGTCGATCAAGACGATCCTTCCACCGGAAACGGTCGCGTGACGTACAGTCTGGTCGGGGTCAGCGAAAACGAGCTCACCATCGACCCGGTGACCGGCGTCATCAGAGCCATGACGTCATTCGACTACGAGAAAAAACAGGTGGTCAATTTCACGGTAGTGGCCGAGGACAGCGGGATCCCGAAACGGTCGTCGACTATGGTCGTCTGTCTGAAAATCTTGGACGAGAATGACCAGGTGCCGTATTTCGTGCAAAGCCGGTTTTCTATGCGCGTCTCCGAGTCAGCCAAGCCAGGAGAGCGCATTGGGGAATTGACGGCTTGTGATTTCGAAGAAGGAGACAATGGCAGATTTGACATCACGCTTCAGCCGGGGTCCGGACGAATCAAGACGGTTCGCGCCGGAACCGGGAAAACTGGCAACAAGGAGGAGGATTTTAATTACGAAGGCATCGACGACCGGTATCTGCCTTTTGTGATCCGGCCAAACGGAAGTCTGATTCTCAGGGAGCTAATCGACTACGAGGCGATAAGCTCGTACGAGTTCGAGGTCAAGGTCACGGACAGAGGCGTGCCGCCGCTGAGCGAGACGGCCACGGTTGTCGTCGACGTGACGGATGAAAACGACAACCCGCCAACCGTCCTGCACCCCAACGTGTCCGAGGTTGTCCTGACGGCGCTGACGGGTTCCGACGCCCCGGAGACCTTGATGACGTTCGAGGTGGTTGACCGGGACAGCGGGCTGAACGGGTTGGTCAAGTTCGACATCACGGCCCGCAACGACAGCAGCAGGTTCAGGATCGACAGCAGCACTGGCGACGTCAGGAGGACTAAAGTCTTCACCGGTTAGTGCCTCAAAACTAGTACTAGTTCTCTCCCTTGGAAATGTAACTCATTATGTGCTGAGTTACTTAGTAGAGTTAACTCCCTTGTCTTTATCGCTCCCTCCCCTTTTGTTTTTTCTTAAACCCAACAATATTCTAAGGGGTACTAACTATAGTTACCCTTTCTGACCCGGCGTTCAATACGGCAGACAAAAGAGTAGAGTTCCTTAAAACAAACTACTCATATTTGTAGTAGAACGAAGAAGATATTCTTAGAAAAAATGTCTAGCAGATTACAACAGAAAATAAATCTTTATACGATTCTGTATACCGATTTTTAAATTAAATTTGAAAAGGCCATTCATTACATAATATCTAGCTCGCAGTAGTAGATATATTTTTACATTTCACATTTAGGGACCAGCTGATGTTTTATTTTTTTCACACTACAGGCCAAGACTCAGGCACCTACAAACTGACCATCATCGTCTACGACGAGGGGAACCCGCCCCTCTCCGACATGCGGACAGTGGTCATCCACATTGTCGGCGGCAACGGCACCGCCAACCTGCCCCGCACCGGCAGTGACCAGTACATCGTCATCGCCGTGACCCTCGTCTGCATCACCATCCTCCTCAGCGTCACCATCGTTCTTGTCATCGTCATCATGCGTCGGATCGACCGGCGCCGGAAGTCTGCCGGACACGGTGGGCCGGGCGGTCCGATGCAGTTCCAGAACGCCCGGGTGTGCACCGGGTTCAGCGACCCCATCAAGTTGGATAACTTCGGGCACGAGGGCGGCGGCGACTACAGGGACGAGGATGCTGGGAGCTTGGACAAGAAGGACATGAACGATTCGCGGTTCGGGTTTTCTTCCTCTAACGGCAGCTTGACCAAGGGCAACCCAGGGGGAGATCACCATCAAGTCATGGATGGACAATTTCAAGTGAGTTAATTTTCTGAAATTATTTTTTTTTCCTTCTCAATATTTTTCTTTTTTTTTTTATTTCGTGACATTTAAAACAATGTATTATTTAATACAGTTTATAAAAACTCAAAGGAAAAAAAAATGCGAAAAAAGACTAAAGAAAATCTCACCCTAAGGCTAGGAAAAGTCTCCGTTCTCTCGTTCTACCGTTTCTCTTCCTGAATAATTCAGATCGAAGAAACACGTTACGATTTCAAACAAACAGACATACAAAGACTCGTTGTTAAACTGCTAACATAAACAAGATTTCTAAAAATCAAAAAAATATTATGGTTCCCAGCTAAGGAATGAAAACGGTTTTAATTTTTAACTGTGGCTAGTTGTAAAAGACTTAATTATTAATAATCCCGTTTGTTATTTAAAAATATTTTTTCCATGCCTCATAATTTTTAAACTACCCTTACATTTTCATCGAAACGATTTCTAAAGGCAACATTTCACATTCAATGATTTAAATGAAAATAAAAACAGAGCAAAACATCACGCACAATTTCAAATTCATTAAAGATTTAAGATGGCCCCAAATTTAAGACATGTCTTTTAAACATTTCAATAATTGATATCAATCTTAAACCAAAACCCTTAAAAGGGCGTCTGGTCCGCCTAATAATCCCTCCTTAAAATTACGGTTAAATGATAGCATAAAAAAACCGACAGAAATTTCAGATTCAATTTTTTTTTTAATTTAAGGGGGTCTTCCTCTCCCTTCCCCCAAAACAGAAGAGGTGACGTGTAACATGTCATACTTGAACCACAAATTCGAGATTAAAAATCAATCAATCATGGTAGATTGCCATCTCGGTCTAGTCCACGGGAGCCACCAACACGACATTGCCGATTACTCGCATTAAAACGTTAAGACAGTTTTCTTTTCGTTGTGACATTAACATGTTACACGTCTTCAGCAAAGCTTTAAAAAAAGGGGGGAGGGGTCGGGATTCACTAATCAGATCTAAAGATTAAAATTTCATTACAATGTTTTATGAGTATCTGGATAGGACACGGAATAATTCGTGTTCCCCCCCCCCCCCCCCCTTACTCAACCCACCCATCCCACCCCAACTTTCCATACACCACACACACACATATTTTACATTAATTAACATACACACACATAAAAACGAAATCTAAAAACGACTAAGACGATTTTAGGCTTTGCATTCTTTACATTTTTTTATGCCTTAAGCGATAGACCTAATTTAAACCGGAATAAATTTTAAGCCTAAATATAACTCAGTATGTTGTTTTTTTATTTCTTCACCTAAAAATATCTACCTCAACAAACTTGTTAGTAGAGGATGCTACAGTTTTAACATATGCTTAAATAATTTGGGTAAACTTTATTTTTTTTTAAATAAAAATCATCTTGATTATATTAACAAGAGGGTACCTTAAGTAAAGATTTACACCGGAGAACTAAAAATTCCCGAGTTTAAAGTTTTTTTTTTTTTTTAAATATTAAAAAAAAAACTAGTGTTAAGATATTTGATAATAGGATTTTGAATTTCTATAAGAGTTTAAAGCCATTTTTTGATCGTACGAGTGAGTAAACATTCATTTCTCTTTGAAACCAAGAGTCAATCTAGTTCAACTGTCCTTCTCTTTGCCCAGCCAGAGTTTCTTTCAGGCATCTCTCCGAACGTAATGGAATTTATATAGAAAACATATATTTTACCAGTGTCTGCCCCCCCCCCCCCGGAAAATGTTGTTGTCCCACCCCCCCCCCCCCAGGGAGAAAAAAGTCTGGAAGAAACACTGTCTTTGACGACGCTGTACTCCAGATGACCACTAGCTACCCTTTTCAACCACATGACCACTCGCCTCCAAATCCGATCACGTGACCACTTCATCTTTCACCAAACATCTCTTTTTTTATCCCCCAACTGTTTTCAAGTCACCCAACCGTTCAGTCAAAACACCCCCAACAAAACAGAGAAAACTATCCGCTACATTTGTTTCTCGTCCTGCAGACATTTCGTTTTCCGGACTCCGGAACTCGACCGTCTCTCTTGAACTCTCAGATCTCACTCTTCGCCGCTTTAGATCCGGCGAATTCCACCCGGCTTGACCTTACGGAACCACCGGCCGTGACTTTATCACCCCTTCCACGCCCTCCGGTTTTTTTTTATATAGAAAAAAAATTCCAATAATGTTTATCCCCCCTTCTCTCCTAACCTCTTCTATCGCGTCGTATTTTCCCGCGCACAATGTGGTGACCACACCGTGACAAGGAAAACATTCTTGGTGAGTACCTTAAATTCTTAACGCGCATGTGCGTTCGATTTTTTTAGAAGGGTGAGCGTGAGAGAGTCCCCGTCCTTTTTATTGTGGACAGAGGAAGATTTTTTTTTTCACCCCCTCGTTTTCTCTTATGATCATGGTTTCTATCTTCCTACTCGCGCTTTTTCAACCCCCCCCCCCCCCCCACCACCTCAACTCTCTTATTCTCTTATTGTCATGGTTTCTATCTTCGCTTCCCGCGCACGTGCATCTGTAAACCACGGGGTGAGTCGTATTTTCTATAGGAAGCGAGCTCTGCCGAGTGCCGGCATGGTGTTTGTTTAGAGCGGGGATGATATTGGTGCCAAGTTTCCAGATCGGGGATGATCAGAGGCGGAGAAAATTTTCATGTAAAGCATATCACTTGGAGTTGGGTGATACCTCTGTGCGCGTCTTTCTAGTCTTTCTCTCGCTCACCCCTGGCGGTGACTCTCAGACGTGACTCACGCCCTCGCGTGTGCTCAACACGTGTGACATCAGATGTTACGGGCCATCTCCTGTAACCAGTTAGGACGTAACATTTGTTTTTTTTACAACAGACCTGATTTAAACAAGTGAGGTAAACAAAACAATACGATGCGTTGGCTTCTACGACTTAATTTTTTTTTACATTCAACCGGAAGTTATTTTAATCTTGACATTTAGCTCACTCTTCTAGTTGATAACAGCTTAAAACAAATTTCGTAATACCAATTGATTTAAATGAGCTTACTATTCAAGATAATTTGAGGTAATTTATAGATTTTTACGAGTACATTCCCTCTATAGAGCATCAACGCGGCGCCAAGCAAAGACGCCAGAATTGCATAACAAATTCAGAGGTGATTTGACATCTAATAAACAAACAACACACTCTTATCTTAACCTTGATTTCCCTGCCATCATTCCACGACCCTCGGGGAAAAAATAAAAGCTCTTGTCACCAACAACTGTTCAAAGAATAAAACCAATAATGTAAACCAACCTTTTTAAAGACATTTTGTCTTATTATTACAACCTGTTTAAGTAACTCGCCAAATACGCGTCAAAACGGGAAAAATCCGTTTAACTCAACGCGCCAAAAGGCAAATTCCCCGATTCAAGTAAGGTGTCAAACGGGAAACTCCGATTCATACTTTCTCTTTTACTCCACATCCAAGTTATTGGATGAGGTCATGACCCATACGATTTGTAGATCTACCATGTTTGTATGTAAGCGGCGACTTTTCTGTCATTTGTTGTTCTTTAGACATGCCATGCTAAAAAAAAATCTGACTGCGGTGGGGCTGTCGACGGCAGTGGAGGGGGTGCCATAGGGACCCCCAAAGTACCGTTTGTTTCCTTAGGAGAGGTATGTTCTCAGTCGGGGCCGGCACCTAAACAGATGGCGAGGCTAGTCATACCAAATAAGAGGGTCGGGGGTTATGGTAGAGTCAATATCGTGTGCCGTACGCGCGCGGGAGGAGGGAGGAGAAACGTAAGCAACTGACGACTTTCTTATAGACGGGTTAAAGGTGTACTATGTCGCTGGTTTATAAACACTCACTCGCGCGCGCACACATACACTCTCATATACACAATCACACAAACGGATTAGCCATATCACTTCATCTTATAGTCGGTAGCGCCAGTAATGATTATCTTGACCTTTAGGACTTAACAGCTAGGCATAGTGCTGACCACATTATCCCTAAATATACCGAGGTCACAGAAAGAGGTGAAATCTACTTCACTTTCCCCATAGACCGTCATGTTTGAAAAGAAACTTAGGACTAAAAATTAGTGCTACTGATGTGTAAATGTTAGGTTTGAAGTTAATTTAAGGGTTCCGTTTAGTGTTGAGATATCGCGTTAGATGTAATTTTGTTCAAAGACCTTCATTAAAATATTTGTAAAGAAGTTAATTCCAATATGTAGTTTAAAAACAAAACACATTATTAAAATTTCAAGAAATAAAGATTAGATGTAATTTCAACCAGAGATCTTCGTCAAATTGGATATAATTAGTTATATCCCACCCTCTCCGCCTAATGCGCCATTTAAAAAAATCCTATTTAAAAACAAACGAAATAAAAATGTAGCTCGGGAATTTTCGCTGTATCGAAAGTGAAAGTAGGATCTCGTAATCTATACGTGCAAGATTTAAACGTATGTAAACACCACCCACATTCTCCTCCCATCAATCCCCCCTCTACACTCTCACACACACAGATACACACACACACATGCACTGAAGAATTAGATTTCTCACTTCACAAGCTTATCGGGGCATTGTGTTTTAAACTGGGCCACGCATGCTCTGTAATTTAGTTGTGGCGTCTGAATTGAATAATTAGTCTTACGTTTCCACTCCCCCCCCCCCTCGTCTTCGCCCCCCACGGCCCGGGGTTTCTGAATGGATGCAATTTTCGTAATTGTGCAATTTGTCTTGTGTTTATTCGTGGAATCGAATTCAAAGTCACGTAGCGAGTTAACGAGAGCGAGAACTCGACGCGAGGCTCGGAGCCCTACATGCGCTCATTACCATTGGGTGGGGGACGAGGGTCAGGAGTACCCTCGTGTGCCCCCCGGGCGACCTGGTTTAGCTATTTGCCGAAAGTCAACAAATAGTTAACAAAACTGTTTTATTGAGTTCTACTTTTTCTATTTTTTTTTAATCTGTTAAAAAAACAATTTTGTTGAACTAGGGTAATACATTG